TAAGAAGCCTCCAATTTTTTTCCAGAGTGGTTGCACTAGCTTGCCCATAAACTTGATAAAAGTGAAATAGGAAAATTCCTTGAAAAACACAATCTGCCAAAATTCTCAGAAGAATAAATAACCTGAAAAGGTCTACACCTATTAAAGAATTAGAATCAATATGATAACATTCAGAATAGAAAGCACTAGACCTAGACAGGCTCACTGGTGAATTCTACCAAAAATTTAAGAAAGTATAGTAATTCATCACTATATTTTTCAGAAGATAGAAGCAGAAAGAATACTTCCTAACTCATTCTATGAGGTCAGCATTACTCTAATATCAATCCCAGAAAAAGATATTATAAGAAAACTACAGACACATATAGCTTATGAGTAGAGATGCAAAAATTGTCCACAAAATACTAGCAAATTGAATCCATTAATTCAATGAAATAGAACTGCACAGCACAACCAAGTCATATTTATCCCAGGCATGGAAGGCTATTTGGTTTAACAATCAAACATTAATTAATGTAACCTATTACATCAGCAGCATGAAGAAGAAAAAACACATGATCAGATTGATAGATGCAGAAAATGCATTTCACAATATTCAACATCCATTTTAGTAAAAACTCTCAATAAACTAGGAATAGATAGAAACTTTCTCAACTTGATAAATAATATCTACAAAACTCTACATTTTAAATCATACTTAACGGTGAGAAACTCAAGGCTTTTCTGTAAGATCAGAGACAAAGTGCATGTGTCTACTCTCACCACTGCTTTTCAACATCATACCAGAGGTGCTGGCTAATGCAGGTAAGACAAGAAAGGAAATAACAGGCATATAGTTTAAGGAAGGAAAAGTAAAAACAGAGATGACATGATCATTTATGCCAGAAATCCAAAAGAATTGATAAAAGAACTTGAACTAATAAGAGGTATTAGCAGAGTTTCAGGATATAAGGTTCAGATAAACAAGCCAATCCACTTTCCTATATATTAGCAATGAACAAATGGAATGTGAAATTAAACAGAAAATACCATATACATTAGTACCTAAAAAATATAATACTTATGTATGGATTTAACCACATATGTACCAGATGTACATAAAAAGCAGTAAAAAAACTGATGGAAGAAACCAACTAAGAATTAAATAAGGGGAGAGAGAAATTCCATATTTATTTATACATTAAATATTGTCAATTTGTCAGTTTTTCCTAATTTGATTTATATATTCAATGCAATCTTGATCAAGTTTCCAGCAAGTTATTTTGTAGATAATAACAAATTGACTATAAAGTTTGTTTGGGAGAGGAAACAGACTCAGAACAGCCAAAACAATATTGAAAGAGAAGAAAAAGACTGAAGAACTAAAAGTACTCAACTTTGACACTTACAATAAATTATATTAACCAAGAGAGTGTTGTGGAATTGGTGAAAGAATAGGCAAATTGTTCAATAGAACAGAAAAGAGAGATCCAAAATGGACGAATATAAATATATTATACTGACTTTTGGCAGGGAGCAAAAGTAATACAAACTAGAACAGCTATTTTTTCCAACAAATGATATTGGAATAACTGGACAGCCACATGCAACAAAATGATTCTAGACCCAGACCTTAAAATCTTCACTAAACTTACCCTCAAAAGATCACAGACCTAAAGTAAAACTGAAAAAACAAGAACCCATAAAACTATTAGAAGATAACAAAGACAATCTTAGGTTTGGTTATGTCTTTTTACATGCAACACTACTATGGTTTGAGTGAGTCCTTCCAAAAGCGTGGTTTGGAAACACTTCATTAAAATAAAAAATTTGTGCTCCACAAATGCTATTGTCAAGAGAATGAAAAGACAAGCTATAAGCTGGGGAGAAACATTTGAAAAAGACGTATTAAATAAGGGGCTGTTATCCAAAATATACAAAGATCTGTTGAAACTCAATATACACATGAGCAACCCAATTAGAAAATGGGTCAAAGACCATAGCAGACACCTCAACACAGAAGATATACAGATGGAATATAAACACATTAAAAATGGTCCACATCAGTTGTCATCAGGAAATGCAAATTTAATTAATATTGAGTTACTTATTACTGCACATCTATAAGAATGGCCAAAATCCAGAACACTGTCAACGTCAAATGCTGATAAGGATTCATTGCTGGTGAAAATACCAATGACATCATGGCTATGGAAGACAGCTTAGTGTTCTTTTTGGTTTTTTGTTTTTTACCCAACAAAACATACTCTTACTATAAAATCCAATGGTTGCATTTCTTGGTATTTACCAAAAAAAGAAAAGGAAGATTATGCCACTCAAAAACTTGTATTTTTTTAAATTCATTTATCCATATGTGCATACATTGTTTGGGCCATTTCTCCCCGCTGCCTCCTCCTCCCTCCCTCTTCCTCCCCCCTACATCCCGCTTCCAAGCAGAACCTGTTCTGCCCTTTTCTTGTTGAAGAGAAGACATAAACAATAGCAAGAAAGACAAAGCGTTTTTGCTGGTTGAGATAAGGATAGCTATACAGAGAGATTCCTAGCATTGGTTTCATGCACAAGTGTATTACAACCCAAATTGATTCATTGCTGCCTGACCTTTTCACTAGTTCCCGATCACCTTCCCATACTGACCTCTGTCACTTTCAGGTTTCTGTATTGGCTCCTCTGCAGGGGAGACCAAACACTTTCAAGTTTTGGGTTTCCTGCCTTTCCCTATTCCTCCTGTATGTGCTCTCCCCTTAGCGTGTGACCCAAGTCCAACAGCATTGCTGCATTTGCCTTAGATCTAAAGTCCGCATATGAGGAAGAAAACATGATTTTTTGTCTTCTGAGCCTGGCTAACCTCACTCAGAATGATGTTCTCCAGTTTCATCCATTTACTTGAGAATGATAAGATTTCATTCTTCTTCATGAACCAAGAGGAAATTAATCACCTGAATAGATCTGTAACACAAAATGAAATTGAAGCAGCAATCAAGAGTCTCCCAAAAAAGAAAAGTCCAGGACCTGATGGATTCTCTGCTGAATTCTATCAGACCTTTAAAGAAGAACTAATTCCAACTCTCCTAAAACTCTTTCATGAAATAGAAAGGGAAGGAACACTGCCTAACTCATTTATGAAGCCAGTATTACTCTCATCCCAAAACCAGGCACAGACACATCCAAAAAGGAGAACTATAGGCCAATCTCCTTAATGAACATCGATGCAAAAATCCTCAATAAAATAACACATCAGAAAGATCACATGATAAAAGCGAGAGCACACAAGGGAGGGGTGAGGATAGGTAAGACACCTAAAAAATTAGCTAGCATTTGTTGCCCTCAACGCAGAGAAACTAAAGCAGATACCTTAAAAGCAACTGAGGCCAATAGGAAAAGGGGAACAGGTACTAGAGAAAAGGTTAGTTCAAGAAGACTCAACCTAGAAGGTAACACCCAAGCACAGGAAATCAATGTGAGTCAATGCCCTGTATAGCTATCCTTATCTCAACCAGCAAAAACCCTTGTCCCTTCCTATTGTTGCTTATGCTCTCTCTACAACAAAATTAGAAATAAGGGCAAAATAGTTTCTGCTGGGTATTGGGGGGGGGAGAGGGAAGGGGAGGAGTGGGTGGTAAGGGAGGGGGTGGGGGCAGGGGGAGAAATGAACCAAGCCTTGTATGCACATATGAATAAAAAAAAAAAAAAAAAGAAAAGAAAGATCATTCACCACAACCAAGTCTGTTTCATCCCAAGGATGCAGGGGTGGTTCAACATATGCAAATCTATAAATGTAATGCAGCACATTAATAGAAGCAAAGACAAAAACCACTTGACCATCTCAATAGATGCAGAAAAAGCCTTTGATAAGATCCAACACCACTTCATGATAAAAGCTCTAAGAAAACTAGGAATAGAAGGAAAGTACCTCAACATTGTAAAGGCTATATATGACAAACCTATAGCCATCATCATATTTAATGGTGAAAAATTGTTTATTTTTTATAGCAGCTTTATTTGTAATTATTAAAACTTGAAAGCAACTGAGATGCCCTTCAGTCAGTGAATGGACTAACCTGGGTATATCTAGACAATGGAATATTATTATTCACTAGTATAAGAAATAAGCTATCAGGTTCTAAAAAGATGTGGAGGGATCAGGCACTGTGGTTCATATCTGTAATCCCAGCTACTCAGGAGGCAGAGATCAGGAGGATCATAGTTCTATGCCAGGCTGGGAGAAAAGTAACTGAGACACCATCTTACCAAATAAGTCAGGCGTGGTGGCACATACCTGTCATCCCAGCTGTTCAGGAGTTGTAAGTAGGAGGACTGTGGTTTATCCCAACCCAGGCAAAAAAAAAAAAGCAAGACCTTACCTAAAAAAATAACTAAAGCAAAAAGGGCTGGGAGTATGGCTCGAGTGGTAGAGCATTTGCCTAGCAAGATGTAGTAGCCCTGAGTTCAAACCCCAGTCAAAAAAAAAAAAAAAAAAAGACATGAACAAAACTTAGTTATTGCTGAGTGAAGGGAACAAATTTGGAAATACTGCATAAAGTTTGACTTCAACTGTGTGACATTCGGGAAAGACAAAACAATGGAGACAGTAAAAAGATAAGTGATTGTCAGGGACAGGGCACAGTGAAGCAGAGCATATATAACTTTTAGGGCATTGCACTACTCTGTATGGTATCATAATCATCGCTACATATCATTACATACTTGTCTGCACTCATAGAATGTACAGTACCAAGAATGAACAGCAATTATATTGTCCACAGGTGATAATGATGAATCAATGTAGGCCACATTTGTGACCAGTGTATGATTTTTATAGAGGATGTTGACAATGGAGAGGTTATACAGGTGGAGGCAGGTGATATATGAGAAATCATTGTACTCACCTCTCAATTTTCCTGGGAACCTAAAATTGTGCTGCAAAATAAAGACTATTAAAACAACGTAGGGCAGGTTTCCGCAGCAGAGCGGCAGCTCCGCAGCGGCGTCGCGGGTCTCCAGCAGGGCCGACGCTCCGGTGCTCGCTCAGTCCTCGGCCTCGCTGGCCCCTCGCGCCTTTCGGCAGCCCGCGTTCCCGGCCGCAGCTCCAGCGCGCCCGGATCTGGCCCACTGCCCCGCGAAGATGGCTGCCGTACGCCGGGCCCGCAGTTACTCCCGCTGCCTGGTGCGCTTCTCCACCGAGGACTCTGCTAAGCCCGTCGCAGTAGGCGGGCAGGAGTAGACACCGGAGACCCCGCACCGCTCCTCCGGGGGGCGGTGCCGAGGGGGCGCCACAGCCCTTGGACCGCGGCCGGCCGGCCCGCCGGCATGGCAGAAGCTGAGGAAGACTGTCATTCTGACACTGTCAGAGCAGGAGATGTTGATGAAAATGAGAGGCCTGCTGAGACAGACCTGCAGGCCCAGCTCCAGGGGTTTCGAGCTCAGTGGATGTTTGAACTTGCCCCAGGTGTGGGCTCCAGCCACTTAGAAACTGGACCTTGCAGAGCAGCAAGAGGCTCTCTACTGAAAGCAGCCGCAGATACCAAAGGAAAGCAAGAACTGGCAAAAGAAAAGGCTCGAGAACTCTTCCTAAAAGCAGTAGAAGAACGAAATGGCGCTCTCTATGAAGCCATCAAGTTTTATCGCAGGGCTATGCAACTTGTGCCTGACATAGAGTTCAGGATCACTTACACCCGGCCTCCAGATGGGGACGGCGCTGGAAAGAGCTACATTGAGGATAATGACGATGACAGCAAGATGGCAGATCTCTTGTCCTACTTCCGGCAGCAACTCACATTTCAGGATTCTGTGCTCAAACTGTGTCAGCCGGGGCTCGAGAGCAGTCAGACTCACATATCAGTGCTGCCAATGGAGGTCCTGATGTACATCTTCCGATGGGTGGTGTCTAGTGACCTGGACCTCAGGTCATTGGAGCAGTTGTCACTGGTGTGCAGAGGATTCTATATCTGTGCCAGAGACCCTGAAATATGGCGCCTGGCTTGTTTGAAAGTATGGGGCAGAAGCTGTGTTAAACTTGTTCCATACTCATCCTGGAGACATATGTTTTTAGAACGGCCTCGTGTTCGGTTTGATGGAGTGTATATCAGTAAAACCACATATATTCGTCAAGGGGAGCAGTCTCTTGATGGCTTCTACAGAGCCTGGCACCAAGTGGAATATTACAGGTACATAAGATTCTTTCCCGATGGCCATGTGATGATGTTGACAACCCCTGAGGAGCCTCAGTCCATTGTTCCCCGTTTAAGAACTAGGAACACCAGAACGGATGCAATTCTGCTGGGTCATTATCGCTTATCACAAGATACAGACAATCAGACCAAAGTATTTGCTGTAATAACTAAGAAGAAAGAGGAAAAACCACTTGACTACAAATACAGGTATTTTTGTCGTGTCCCTGTGCAAGAAGCAGATCACAGTTTTCATGTGGGGTTGCAGCTATGTTCCAGTGGCCACCAGAGGTTCAATAAACTCGTTTGGATCCATCATTCTTGTCACATCACTTACAAATCAACTGGTGAGACTGCAGTCAGTGCTTTTGAGATCGACAAGATGTACACACCCTTGTTCTTCGCCAGAGTGAGGAGCTACACTGCGTTCTCAGAAAGGCCCCTATAGGGCTCCTGGCCAGTCCTTGTCACTGTTGCATGAATTAAAGTACAAAGCGCAAAAGAGCACCTAAGTTATAAATGTACATGCATATGAATTGAAACTTATTTTAAATGGTTGGAATTCCTTTAAGAAGAGTAAATTTTTTTTTATTTAAGGGGATAGTTGATTCTTGGGTTGTTCTGTTTTGAAATTGTAAGTTAAAGCAAATTTATGTTGTGAAAAGCCTTATATAAGTTTTAAATCATGTCCTTGTTCAAGCAAATTTTTGAGCAAATTTCTGTCACATAAGTCACCTCCTGCCAGGTCGTCCTAATATTTAAATGCATCAGGGGAGAGATTCACTGGATACATATTTTATTTCCTGCATGACTTATTGTCTTTGCACTAAAGGCTCAAAATGTGAAAACCTGTTCTGGATTTGTTTGAGACTGTTTAACCAATAAAGATCATAATTAAAAAAAAAAAACAACGTAGGCAGTTTTTCCATGTACCTTTGATAGTTCTATTATGTATGCTTATAAGCTATGTGAATGACAGTAAGTTATTAAACATGATCTTTACTTATAACATGAGTTTAGTAATACTGATTTCATAAGACTTATATTACTAACGACAAGTAATCAGATCTAAAAAGCTTGGTCCTCAGAGGAAGACAGATAAATGGTTCTGACATAGAATTAACAATCTTACAGAAATTGTAGTTTTAAAGGAGGCAGAATTCTATACTTACTTATATTTATCCACTATTGATTATAAAATAATCTTCTCATATTAGTCCCACAACCAACTAGATGCAAGTTAAAAACAATTATGTCATTATACTGTACTTTAATCATTCTACCATATCACCAAAGAATACTCTTGGTATTCACCTGCTAATACTTAACCAACTACTCATTTAAATAATGCATTTGCTTAAGTCCTTTCACAAACCACAAGCAATTAAAAACTACATATACAGAATCATTTAAATTTCTTCCATCTCTGGCTCATGGCCACTATTCCATGACTTGATACAATACAGGATTCTAAAATGCTATTCCAAGTTCAAAGCCAAAACATACATGCCATTCTTTTTTCTAATTAATAACATAGAGTACAGGTCCCAGTAAACCAGCTAACAAATATTCTAAATGTCAAAGCAAAACTTACTGACTTTCTGAATAACCTGACTTCCATACCACAATGAGAGAACAGGTGTACCCCAAGGCCTGGGAAAAGGGTACAGCACTGAAGGAAAAGGCTTAGCACTATGTAGATAATCTGGGAGCATTTGTTCTGGATGAAACATTACAAACTGCCTAATTCTATGGTTTCCAAACTGCTCTAATTAGAGAAGGTAGGAGTAGAGCAATGGGAAAAGAGAGGTGAAATTGCCAGGGCTCTTTTTCATGCACGATAGCTTCAAAGTTTAATTTGGGTATTACAGTATTTTTTTTAAAAAAATTTGAGAGAGGATCTCTCTATGTAAGCCAGACTATTTTAGAACTCTCAGTCCTCCTGCCTTAGCCTACCAAGTGCTGGGATTACAGGCTTGAACCACCAAGCCTGCTCAACAATATGATTACATTGAAAAAAAAAAGTATTCCTTGCCAAAAATATTGAATCATGATGTGGTTAAATAACCTCATCTGTGGAGGGAGAATGACACCCAAAGAGTGATTTCGTGCCAGTTTATATGGGCAATCAGTGGTACTGTTATGATTAGAATTCAACTTCCTGGTCTCCAGACTGAAACTAAAGAGCATGCCTCTAAGACATTGCTTATTTGTTTTCCTGCTTTGCTTCAAATTATGAGGTAGACACAAGGGATGCAAAAATTAAGGTTCTGGCTAATGGAAAAATCAGACCAATAAGCCAGTAACTTCAATACAGTGTTGAAAGTACATCTTAAAGGTCAGGGTGCTACCAGAATGTAGAGGAGGAACTCATACCTATGACAGGGAGTAAGGGAGTAGGTGATAGCAGAGTGGAATCTCAAAAGATGTTTAGGTATTTGACAGAAGAAGAGGAGAGCGTTTCCTTCACACAAAGAGCAACAGGTGCAAAGGCACTGAGGTGAGGGAGAGAATTGTGTTCCAGGAATGGCAAGAAGATTGATATAGTAGGAAAGTAGGCTATATGAAGATAAACTGCTATAGTTTGGGTCTGGAATGTCCTTTGAAGGTCCAGTTATTAAAGGGTAAGCTCCCATCTTGGCACTATTAGGAGGTCGTAGAGCTTTTTAAGAGGTGGACATAGAGGGACATTTTGCATCACTGGGGATGTACCTTTTAAGTTGATGGTGGGACTTAAGTCTCTTTATCTTTCTCTTTTTCCTCCTGGAGTCCACAGAGTGAACAACTTCCAAATCCATGTTCTACTGCCATGGTGCTCTACCTTGTCATTGGCTCAAAGGCACTGGAGCTAACTTACCATGCACTACAGCCTCCAAAACTGTGAACTAAACTTTAGTTTTTAAGTTGATTGTTTCAAGTATTTTGTCATAGTCACACAAAGCTGACTACCACAAAATCATATGGAGATGAGAGGGTAGAGGTGAATAGAGGCAAATAGAAGCCAGGTCATAGAGACTTAGTTTATCTCAGTCCAAAAAAGCCGAGGAGACAAAGATCCCATCTCCTGTGCCATTCCATTTCTCTGGCCTCTGCAATCATGGCCAGACCTTGCTTCCCTCACCTGATCTGATCACTTATTCCCTTAAAATATACCCTATTCCAAACCATTTCTAAGTAATTACCTGCAACACTGCCTCTGCTCTATCTTAGGCATCTCTCTAGCTTACACTATATCTTGACTCAGTTTTAGTTCATTATTTGTCATTATGCTTGCTGAACCCCATTTTTTTGTTGCCCATAAAGCATTCTTAAATTACCTCATCTAATGCTTCAGCTCTACTCTTTCTAAGACAGCCAACTTCCCAAGATTAAGGCACCACACATAGGCTTCTTACATGATTTAGGGGAGTGGGATCTTGTGGCTATTTTTCCTACTTTCTTTTCATAAGCAGAACTTGTTTCTCTAATTCAATAGTGACCATCATTTATTTTTATTTGCCCATTAATAAAATCTACTTTATTTCAAAGGGTAAAGGTACAATCTGGATCTCATAAGCATAGTCAGCAGGTGTTACAATGTGGAGCCTCAAAGGTAATATAAAATTAGACAAGCCATGCACCTCCAGACAGCATTGGCTTGGATCCAAATGAAGGTCATCATTTATCACTGAGGTTCCCAAAAAGGTCAAAATGGTAAACAGAGCTAGTTGACAAACACGCTAGATGGTATGAAACTAACCACCCCTCAGATGTTTAATTATAGTGTGCACAAGAGCTATTTAATAGAGGGCAATTTAAAAACAAATGGTAATAGTAAAAGTCAAAAGTTTTATGATCCCAGACTCAAGCTTTGAGTCTCTTTCCTGTCTTTGGGAACAGGAAGAACAGAATCCCTCTATGTAGCTTCAGTTTTTTAAAAAATGAGTCAGAAGATGGAGAACAAAATCTATTAGCTCCCATCTTTACCCTGGTAAGACTCAGCAAGGTGCAATATGTATGTGAGGCATTAAACATCTAACATTGACCCAGACTACACAGATTTACCCATCTAGTTACAGTCATGGTCATACAGCCACAGACCTACACAGATGAGGCAAGTTCCCATAAGAACATAGTATGTGGAAGGAAACAAGGGAGTGTAGGCTCCCTGGAAGTTACATGCCCCAGGAGGGAAGGGGAGGAGCTTCATTGAATGTGCTTAGTTTAGTCTTCCCAATTTGCCTGTCACACAGGCTTATATGTCACTACCTTTTCCCTGGACTGAAGTGTATAAAGAGAGGGAGAGACTTTGGAAATATTAGAGACATTGAGGCAGAGACTGAGATCAATCAATAAATTTAATACAATAAATATGAATGAGTGAAAGGTAAAAAAAGTTACAATTTCCACCAATGTAAAAACACATATTTAAGTACAAAAAGTTACTCTGGATTTACAAGTTACCACCCTTAGAATACTGTCTTAAACACCAAAATAAGAAACGTAACAGAGGGCTGTGGCTAAATTTACTTCATAACACCGCTGCTAAAATCCAGGCCATTGCCTGAAAGTAGTTGAGCAGCAGCAATGTCATCAATATGCAATCACACCAAGCAATAGCCATATGACTGTAAATTTAGAATTGCTCAATACAGTATACGGTATTACAAGAATAATGACAACAGGAGCTACCATTTACTAACCCTTTTTGAGTTCCATGCATGTGCTAAATGCTGAACATATTACCATATTTGATCCTAAAAATAACCTTGTGAGTTAGACATCAACACATTTTATAATTAAGGAAAACAAGGCTAAGTAACATATTATAATGCCTATAATACTGAAAGTAGCAAAGTATTTGACCTTAGATTGACTAACTACAAATCCTGTGTTCTATTGCATATGCCAAAGTAAACACATCTATAAATATTATGGGACTCTAGTACGAGAACACTAGGACCCTTCTGACTTTCCATGTGTCTATGACCTGACAGTGTGAAAAACTCATGCTAGTTAAATGCTACCCCAGATCATTGTTTTTCTTCTTTCCTCTTTTCATTATTTTCCGTTTCTTCTCCATTTGAGAGTTCCAATGGGCTAATTGGAAAGATCTTGCATAAATACAGTAAAAGTCATTATAAGGTTATCCAAGGGACAGAACGAGGAGAGAAAGTTTGCTACATGTGGAAAATTGTTGTAAGTTTGAATTACAACCTGTTGGACCTATTCAGGACTTAGCAGGGAAAGACATCATATGCCAGGACATTGTTAAATGAATTTTACTTTAAATTCTTAGATATCAAGCAGCTTTTTATTTAAAAATGGAAGTTAAAGTTTTTACAAATATGTGCTTAGAGCTCAGACTTTTAAGATTAATCTCTGAGGAATTATGGAGAATCCTGGTCATCATTACCCTAGGAAATATTACAGGCAGGTCTTAAAATATCTATATATTTTCTAAATTTAACTAATATTGTGCTGGAAAGCATTGGGCTCTGAAGGTGAAGATGTGAATCTGACTGTCTGATGTT